CCTCCCCTTGTCCCTCCCACAGCTCTGCCTGAGGCCTGGGAAGTCTGGGTTCTGGGCTTGTGTGACCTTCTTTCCTCTTCAGGCCTCAGTGTCCCCTGTGTGCATGGAGTTCTCAGATTCAGGGAGTATGGAGGCCTGTCCAGCTGTGACAGCAAGACCACGGACAGCCCAGGGCTGGGCTGGCAGGGCCTGGGCTCCCATGCTTGGCTGAGGGCTGTGCCCGTAGGGAAGCCCTGCCCTTCCCCTGGGCAGGTGGAGCTGGCTGCTCTGAGCCTTTCCCATGTCCAGGCCTAGCCTGGCCTCCTTATATAGCTGTTTCCAGGCTGGGCCTGTGTTCTCTGCCCTGAGGGAGCAGACTGTTTTATTGCTGTTTGTTTTAAGAGCTTTTCCACTTTAGCCCTGGCTGCTATGGCTCAGGTTTGATCCCCGGTGTGGGTGCCTACAGAAGGCAGCCGGTACATGTTTCTCTCTCACATTGATGTGTCTTTCTCTCTTCCTTTCTCTCTCTCCCTGTCCCACACCCTCCTTCCCTGCCTCCCTTCCTCTAAAACCAATTTAAAACGAAATCATTTCAACTTTATTAAAGGAAAATCTAAAGTCATCAGTAATCCTACCCCAGGCAAGGGGCCACCCTCCATGGGTCTGAGCTCGTGACAAGGGCACTGCCTTGGTTGCTGACAGAAGCAGCCGTCTGCCCTTTCCCCTTCAATCCGTGACTCATGGATCCCTTGTCATGACTGACCTCCATGCAGGTCACCTGTGTGTACAGGCCACCACAGGGAATCGGCCCCTGTAGGAGCTCTGTCCTTTCTTGTTTGTTCCACACGTTCAGTAAATTCCCCAGAGGGAGGCCTCTGGGCCACAAGGCGTGGCATCTTTTTGGCTCTCGTTTTGTATTGCCAAAGTGCAGGTCTTGTGTTGGGGGCCTAGCTGGAGTTGCACCCAGAGCCCTGGCTAGATTAATGGGGCCTGAACAGCAGCCTGGGGCCCCAGGAGAGAGAAGGGTCTCCTGGGCCCAGCCTCTCTCACCCCAGAAATAAGGCAGATCCACCCTGCCTGACCCCAGCAGATCTTGCCCCACTCAGACACCCCAAGGAGTGCTCAGGGCCTGTAGGGCCCCACTGCCCAGTCACACCAACCTGGCCTGCAGGCTCCTTCTTCCCGGAAGCTGCCCCCGCCCTCCTCTTCCCAGCCACCCCTCTGTCTCCTCCAGGCTGGGCTGATGGAGAGTGGGCTGGTTGTAGCTGGACAAGTGGAATGAAATTAACTAAGAAGAGGACACTCTGCCAGGAAAAGGTGGGAGCCTGCAAGCAGGCCACGTCAGAACAAAGTCTTACAAGCAAGACTTATTGTTCAGAGGCAGGACTTTCCTTGACGTGATAAATACTCCATGAGGGCATGAAAAGTTCAGGGGAGGGTGCACTGCTGCAGGTGGAAATAATCTTTGTATAATACAGGAAATTAATAGTGTAATGTATAACTTAGCTTTGATGATTTCATGAGCATGCTTGTTAATCATTGTCACTTGCTGTACTCTATTGTTGTTTGCTGTGTTCACTTCAATAAAAGCCATGAGAGCATTGGGGGCTTTGCTACATGCCTGAGCAAGTGGTAGCCCTCTGCTCTACTTCATCCTACACGCCAAGCTTGCCTCAGTGTCTCCGTTCACAAAGAACATCAATACTGGTTCGCTGTTGTGTCCCCAAGCCCCAGGGCGCTTGTTGGTGGACCGACTGGTGGAAAGGGTAATGATGACCTGGGAAGGTTCTAATCTAGACCTTTCAGAAGGCATGCCAGTACCTAGCTCCCACCTGAGCCTGCCTTTCCTCAGTATAGCAGGTCCTGGAATAATGTCGTTTTATTCAGCCTCTTTAGATTATCATGTTGATGAGAAAAAATGTCAATTCCTAGTGGGGCCACTGTGTGGAGTTTATGTGGCCTCCCCATGTCTTTGTGGGTTTTCTCCATGGTTTCCTCCCACATCCCCAAGATGTGCACGTGAGATGAACCAGTGTGTATTCATCATTCCAGTCTAGTGTGGGTGTGTGTCAGTGTGACCTTCGATGGAGGGGTGTCCTGTCCAGGTTAGGGTCTCACTTTTTACACCCTGAGCTGCTGGGAGAGGCTTTGGGCATCCGAACCCCTAAATTGGAATAAGCAAGTTGGAAAAGCATGATCTCACTTGGTTTTATGAATCTCTCTTAAATATATGTATAGCTCACACTGATTTCAACATTTTGGATTTTTATCTAGAAGTTTGGTGATGTTTTTGTGACCAGAACTAGGCCACAGGAAGTGAACTGGTTTCTAAGGTGAACATCATTTCACTTAAACTTGCCGTTTCCAAGAACTTATCCTGATGACACTGAGGACTTATCGTGCATGTGTCTGTCCCCAGCCAAGGTCCACAGGACATTCACAGTTTGCCTGCTTATCTGAGTCCACTGCAAGTTTTGGCTTGTTAATTCCAATTTCCCGGACCCTGCCCCCGGAGGGGCGGAGCAGCAAGCAGGTTACTAAATCATTCCCCACTTTCTCTCAAGTTCAGAAGCAGCCTGCCAGGCACTGGAGCCCAAATGAAGCCCCCAGGCCCTGCCCGCGTCGGTGCCATCGTGCTGGTCCTGCTCTCGCTGCTGGCTGTGCTCCAGACCACCCGTGCCCAAAAGGTAGCGAGTGCCTCAGGCACCTGTGTGCGCACCGGAGTGTGGGTGGTATGAGCTGGTGAATGAGAGCCTGTGTGTGTGTGAGCGTGCAAGTGAGCACAGATAAGTGTGTGTGCCAAAAAATGGTGCTGACCATCCACCAGATACGTCCCGAGGGCTTGATGGATAGTCCTCCTCCCCCCGCCCCTCTTAAGCTAGAAGGGGTGATCCTATTCCATGTTCCAGGTGAGGAATTGCAGTCTAGCAAGTAGACCCTGGAGGCCGGCAGTGGGGGAGGGTGGGAGTGGGGATCATGAGCCCAGCTCTCCTCTCCTTTGGTGAACGGCGTCAAGGTAATGAGGCTTCCTCTGTCTCCCTTTCTTCATCTGTGAAGTAGGGTAATAATAGACCCTATTCGGAGGTTTGTTGTGAAGATGGAACCTGTAACACTATGAAGTGGTTAGTACAGTGCCTGGCACAGAGCAGACACTCACGTGTGTAACAAGCCGCTCAGCCAGGCACCCACCTCTGCTAGGTTGCGTGTGCAGGTGAACAGAGCTGGCATGTACACAAGTGTGTCGTATGCAGGCTGGCAGATGTGTAAGGCTTCTCATGTGTGCACATGCGAACCTTAGACCTGGGTGGAAGGTCAGGCGCCTGGGTCAGTGACCTGTGGGGACTGACCGTCTCTGCAGGGCCAGGGCCTGGGCTGCAGGGCAGGGCAACTGGGGGGTGGGGCCCATGGCTGCAGGGAAAGGGGGCAAAGGAGAAGGCTCCCAGCTCTTAGGGACTGGACCCTGGTCATCTCCAGATTCTCCCAGCTCCTGGAGGCCCCTGTGGGGACTGGCAGGAGCGGTTCCTCCATTTCTGGTCACCAGAAATCAAAGGACTTGTTTGCTGCCCTGACACTGTTCAGAGCTAAGACCTTGAGCTTCCGGATCCCAACCGGGGCCAGGAAAAGTGAGAGTCCCCTCCCAGACACACTGGGGCTCAGGTTCCACCTTCTATCCTCTGTGTTTGGCAGACTGGTCCCTGCCCCCTGGCACTGTAGGGTGGGGAATGGAGCACAGAGCTGCCTCTTATTTGAGAGAAAGATCCACAGGTGAAATGCCTCACGGGGTTTTGCCTGAGGCATCCATCGCTCAGTGTGGGTAGGGCCAGGGCTTGGTTTGGGACCTAGGTCAAGGCCTGCTCTTGAAGAGCATGGCTCCAAGCAGGGCTGGCGTTGAA